GATCGTAGACCTCCGACCGTGGTAGGAGGATGTTCCACGACTTGGTAGAGCTCCTGCTGTGTCTTCTCACTAAGGGACCATCCCAAAGGGCATAGCTTGAGCTTCAAAAAGTCTACAGTAGGTGATGGTGGTTGTCGTTTACGGACAGGCACCTCACAACGAACATATTCCAGGATATCGATGACCACATTGTAAAGCCATCGACAAGCGGCTTCTTCATGGTGATGGATGAGAACATCGTCGAGGTAGGTTATTATCGCCTCGTCGTTTAGGGTGTACTCGGGCAGGCCGGTTCGTAGTGCCAGGGCCAAACCATAACTCCACCATGCAGCAGAGTGGACCCATCCCATGATAAGAGCTTTATGAAGAAAGTAACGAGTCTTCATCTCGCCTGTACGGTGGTCTGGAAGCTGAATAGCTGCACCGAAGAGTGGTAAAGAATCTTCGTCATAGTGCATTCTCCAGTATGCCGCCTTGACGTCCACAGTGGCAAAGAACCGAGACGGCTTCTCGCGGTTAGTCACGCGACCGTCTTTGGACCACGGGATACTCCGAAGGACATCATCGACAGAAGAGAGGTATTGTTTCCAGTCTCCTTCCAGAGGAGCCGTTGCAACATTGGCATTGCGAGAATCAACCACCATGCGATAACGGTCGGCAACATTCTCCTTGGTGAGGGGTTCCTCAGTGACGTTCCCCGGTTTGGGCACTAAGAAGAGGGGCTTGAAGTGTGTGTTATGGAAGTACTTGTATGAAGTTGGGGTTATCTCCTCCAAAATACCGTCTTCCTCCATGGACTGAACGAGTGTACTGGCAAACGAGACAACAAATGGAATGGGTTCCAAATGCAATCGATTATCTGGGTGCGCGCTATTTGTAACAGCTTCCCCCCCGAAAGAGAGTAGGTACAAATAGTGAGCAGCCACAACATATAACATGCTTACATATTGACATGCATACGAATAAGATAAATATATTCTTCATTAGTGTGAAGTAATTATGGCTTTAGATATATGGTTATCCGCTTGAGAATGGATGCTCAAGTAATGGTTAGAAGCATGATTAATGATGATGATGATGATGATGATTAATGGTTTTTATCATGAGAGGTAGAATTGAAGAGAAATGCATATAAACTTGGGTTACATATTAAGCATCAAAATTGTGATTGAGTATTACAAATGATTGTGCAAATAATCAAGATGATAAATGTGAGTATCTTGTGTGACACAAAGGATCTGATGAGTAATTAATACAAGATAATAGTGATGATATATATGATTTAGACATAGTAAAGATTGATATATTGATAGATATTTATCAGAATAGTAGAAGTAACACTCACATAACTTAAAGGGGTGCATTGTATAGCATTGTATGGTGAAGAAGGCATCGAATATCATAAGTATAGCATGTGATGAAAAGTATGAATAATAAGTGATTGATATTAATGAGTAGGTAGAAGAATACATTAACAGTGAAATAGTGCAACAAATCAACAAAACAACAAATCATAGTATATTATCATGACAACAATCTTTACAATTTTTTCATTTTTTTTTATTTTTTTTTCATTTTTTTTTTATTTTTTTTATTTTTTTTATTATTTTTTTTGTTTTTTTTAACTTTCTTTTACATTTCTTTTACATTTCTTTTGGATTTCTTTTAGAACAATAATCAATATAAAACATAGAATGATGTAGATAAACATGGATGAGAATGTATTATTCTGAGTCAGATGAGTCAAATGGTAGATCAAGATAAAACCTTCTCTTCAAATGTCGACTTGAGTGGGTAGTACCATTATCTAAAGTGTACCTATTTGAGCCAGCTTGAGCAGTGACTCTGAATGGGCCTTCGAATTTCGGACTTCGCTTATTCTTATCAGAAGGTGCTATAATTTTGACAAATACCTCATCTCCAGGTTTTAGTGGAGTATTCATAGTAGGTAGTCGTTGACGGGATTTTGATAATTGTTGAAGTCTTGCTGAATACCAAGTCGTAGATACAGTAGAACCATCTTTGTGGATGCATAGCTGCAGTACCCAGAAGCGGATCAGGTGGAGTATGTAAATGTATAAGTTGATAAGGAGATATA